GGATTTGGAAGATCGACGTATTTGCAGACAACCATAGCACAACTACTAGTCCCGATTCAGGATTTCGTCCTCGATTTCCACATCACCGAATTGCTTATCTGGGTATATGGCTTGCATGGTGGGGGGGGGGGGGGGTTAGTACCCATGTGCGGTGTATCATCCCCCATCTCCTATATTTTGCCGGGTACGAATGTTGCGGTCATTGTCTTTGATTGTCGGCGTCATCAACAACAACTAGCTTCTATTCAAGGTTGTGTAATTAAAACTATCCTTATCTACAATTGGGATCGGCATTTATCCAAGCTTTTACCATCGTACCAGATAAGCCACGGTAAATATTGGGCATGTTTTATAAACACCCTTAAAATGATAGACAATAAATCATAGACAGGGTGCACATCGGTGGGTCTATGGCCAAATAGCCATGGGTCTTTCATACGCCCGTTGTATTGGAGTGGGGATAGGAAGGTGGAGAGGTGGGACAATGGTGGATGTGTGGCTGGGGACGAACTTCTCGTTTTGTGTACTCCGGACGCCGTATGATGACCGCAAAGTTGCTGATTACCATTTACATTGGTGGTGTGATGGATGGCTTGTCATAGGTGGCTTCTTTTGATTGGTTTCTTCTGGTCGCTATTTTTTAGTTGGTGCTAATGCAAAATACTCCGGTGCGCTATATCCCTTGCATGGTCGCATCGTCGAGGGGGTCACATGAGATGTAAAACGTGATGTAGAACGTGATCAATGTGTCTTCCGTAAGACTTGGCAATTATAGAGCACAGCAATCATATCGAGTTCTAGCCACAGAATGCCTCCAACGTCAAGAGGTTATCTCTTCCCAAACTCTCCCTGGGTGACTCCAAAGGTAACCCCGAACTCCGTTTGATGCATGTGCATATTCGACGTATGCAGGCTCCGATTTGATGACAGAGATATCTATATCACTCCATACATGTGCGCATTCCAGCCAGCTTTAAACAACCATGTTGCCTCAGAAGAGGCCGATAGGAAGAGAAAAACCGATGTTCTGCTTCTTTCATGTAGAAGGGAAACGGGTTCAAAATGGGCTGGAGCAGCTAGGGATCTGCTCTAGGGTGTGTGGTATCAAGATAGCCATTCGCGAAAAGCATGTTGATTTGAGAGTAGTGCTTTAGAAACGCCCCTTTCGTATCATCTTGCATCTTAGGAGTTTTCAATTGACTGCGAGATTTGCTATCCTGCTACGTTCCCATCAGAGGTGACGGTCCTTTTGCTCACTAGTACTAGAATCCAGAGTTTCTCACGATCCTTCGCTGACGCCAGCATCACACAGTTCAATGTGATCTTTTGTACCTTTCAACATAGCTCCGACTCTGCAATCCCTCGCTCGGATTTGGAACCGAGCATATACCTATTCAAGCAATCGACCTTGTGTTTGTCCTGTCTATCAAACACCCTTTTTTTTAAATTGTCAACTCGACTTCCTCAAGCCCCGTCGCTGCCTGATTACCCTACGGATTTTCTAGTGCTCTTGCTGCTCTTTCGATTGATTCTTAGCCCTGATGCGCCATCCTCAACATTGACCAAGTCAATACTTCAACTATAACCATGCATTCTCAGTCTAGTGGCTTAGGTGTTTACTTCTCTGCGATCCTCGAGACCGTTGAATGTCTATAAGACAGAGAGATGGCATATGTCCAATATAGGGATCCGATTGATATCTCTGTAAATCTTGCAATCGATGCAGGGGGTTGATCATACGACCCATTCCTGCAAAAGGAAATCCCATGGGGAACGAATTGGGGGGGTACCTCGGGTGCTGACCCCCTACAGAACCAACGCCGGTGAATGATCTTGATTGGATTGATAACCATCGTGAAGTGTGTGCCATGTTATTCGTATGCCTTTATTCATTATTGTGCTGACTGAAGAGACCCCGTCTCAGTATTCATCCAAAGCGCCAATGGTTATGGCACAAGTATCCAATGCATCGAGAAATGACCGCTCGTTACAGAGATCAGCAAACGACCAAATTCCAACTGCTAAACAACGAAACTGGAACGAGATGGCCGGTAGTCGAATTGAGACCCTGATTCTAGGACCCGTCGATCGAACCTCCATCCTAGAGCTTTTGATTTCAAAGTGCGCCTCGAAATGAGCTAAAGGCACTCCTTCTGTGCTTTGGGAGTACGAAGTCACTGGAATACTCGAAGACAGCTTGAGTCCGGCCGTGGAGTATAATTTGTGAACAAAGTAAATTCGATACGATCGGACGTGGTGAATGTTAAACCTTTAGGACCAAGTTGCTAAGAAACCCTTCTTGTCTCCTGGGGAATTGGATAGGACCCAGAAACGAAAGCAGAAGCTGGCGTCTATCTTCACATTCTACGGGGAGAGAATGAAACAGCAAATCGATTTTGTCACTCTGGCTATTCTCGATGTCCCGTCTTCCCCCCGGACGCAGCTGGTTCTCAAACTAGCAGAGATGCGGACGTGCCTAGTTTTCCAAACACTGGCTTCACTTCATTTAGGCTCTTGGTTGCCGAAAAACACAACCCCTATATGGCCGGGGTAATCATTTCAATGTTGCATTGCCATTGTGGCAAGGTTTCACAGATCACACAGAGAACAACGCCACCACTGATGCGATTGGTGGCAGATCATCCTTTCAGCAATTCCTTCATCCGAGGATTTGGTTATTCGGGCGTGGGCGGAACAAACTAGGGATGCGTTCAACGACACATGAAATTCACCTGACCCAGGGATCAGAAATGAATGGTGGGATATTCACGAAGAGCGTATCCTCAGGGCACAGGACACCTAGGGTAAAAAAGAAAGCCGGCAAAACTAATCAGCACCTCGAAGGGGCGAAGGCTCTCGGATTGCATTCCGGAAATGATGGAAACCATTAAACTGAGGTGGGAGCTGGTTGTTTCAGGATCGCTGTTTCACAAACGCTTTGATCTTCATAATGGCTATAGGGTTATTCTCCAATTTCATGTAACATCGAGCCCACACTCGCACGCTTATGCCTCTTTCTGCTTCAAAACAGACTGCTACCCACTGAGAGGGTTCTATCCGTGGCCAAGATAGATCCAGAAGTTGACATTCGACTAAAAGCGACCGGAGAATGCAACCTACAAAAAATGACCACACTCGTGGATATTTTGAAAAACTACCTCTGCCGGGGAAAGCCAGGGGTTCAGGGAACGTTGGTTTGTTGCCAGGTCTTTGAGCACAAACAGTGATCTCCCAGGAAGAAGTATGTACACTTGATGTTGCCAGACTGAAATTTTCAAAGTTCACAATAGTTGCGCAAAAGACAATAACTCTTAATTAAATTGTCGCATAAACATCTTTGAGCCTTCTGTTACACTAAGATCAAGGGAAACAAATCTCAGCAGAGAGCCTGATATACAATGACTGATCGAGGTAAGCGATGTCAATGGTGGGTATGTTAGGGTAAAAACCTTGAAAATATAAAGTCACCGTTGCCTGCAATCCGGTGGAATTTGTTGGGTCAAAAAAAGGTATAGATGTGATGGAAATACCATCACATGGATTCTCAGGGCCCAAAAAAGATAAATGTAGCATGTCCTGGTTTCGATCCAGGGTCCTCCGGGTTATGAGCCCGGCGCTCTTCCCCTGAGCTAACATGCTGTTGAGATGTTATCATGTACTGTTAAAGAATCTATAGCTATGCAAACACCTTTCAAAGTTCAAAGGTGATCTAGAAAAAACAAACGCAAAAGGATCACCCTCGTCAGAAGTGAAAGACGAAGAGAAAGAAATCAGGGGGTGAACAAAAGTTATATTGTGAAGATGGTCTACATACTTGGCCTAGTTACTATTTTTGAAAGTTGAGTCGGCACTCTCAACCCGATAGGAAATTCTCCTAACGTATTTAGCAGTGAACTTTTCGTACCAAAATCACTGTAGAGAATGACTTTAAATGTGCTGGAAAGAGTAATAGATTACTTGAGGACGTGAACTTTCAACCAATCAGCATGTTAGCTCAGGGGAAGAGCGCCGGGCTCATAACCCGGAGGACCCTGGATCGAAACCAGGACATGCTACATTCATCTTTTTTGGGCCCTGAGAATCCATGTGATAAAAGTCACTCAATTTATGACTCTGCATCATATTCCACACTGTGGCTATAGCCCAAGGCACCCAGGTTGTTGGTGCTTGCCTGTGGTTTTTTTTAATGGGTTTGTAGAACATATCACCTGCTACGCATGCTTCTATCTATATATGTTCTATGTGTTTTTACAGCGTGACCATGAAGTCATCAACACCGCAGATGGTCAGCTGTGCACAGAGAAAAGTATTGTGACAGGTCAGATAACCGACAAGAATAGTTCCAACATTTCACTAGCTCCGAAAATAGCCCTATGTGCTCGATCACAATGCTAACTTACTTTTGTTTCAATCGGGCAATCCTATTTCGATCAATCACATACAGAATACCCTCGACCCACCACCAGCCAGGTAGGTACCTACGGGCTACTTGAGCACAAATTCAGTTTGCACGGTGTGATACAACTTCCCCTACTGCCTCAGGCCACCATCCACATAGCACAAATCATTTGGACACAGTGGAAGTACTTGATTTATGCGCTTTGTCACCAAAGGCACCTACAGCATTAGGCTTGAAGCCTCGTACCCTTAACTCAATTTCCCCCAAATCCCTTATAGTGCAAATCCAAAACCTCTAACTCATCGCTGAATATACCGGGGGAAGGGGTATCTCCAAAGTGGGGGCGGAAATCTTCAAATAGCTCGAGGCCCCTGTCTGGCGTTTATATATCCATCAAAAGAAATACAACGCTCGGTTCCTGTTCGTACCCTCAGCATAGATAAATACCGTTACCTCCATAGGCCCAAATCTCTTTTGAAACAAGCGAAATAGGTAGCGCCCGAGGGAAGAAAAGAAAAATTGAAACGGTCTTTCGGCCAACCTGAAACCAACCTCCAACCCAACACTACCCCAACCCAACAAACCACCCATTCAGACAAAAATGGGCCAAAAAGCCTCCGTTCCCCAGCCGGGCGCACAAATCCAAGTCATTGGTGCCGGGCTACCACGTACAGGGACCTCATCGTTCAGCCAAGCGCTAGAAACTCTCCTGAATGGACCGGTGTACCACTGCGGCACACAAATATCGATAGGCCCACCAACTGAGATTAAAAGCTGGATGCCAATTCTGCAGAACTGGCTCAGAAAGGATGACCGCACAAGCCGGGCAAAGATGCTCACCCTCCTGCACCGCCGATTGACCGGCTACGTCGCCATCACCGACTCCCCAGGCTCTGAGCTCGTCCTGGAACTCATGGAGCTGTACCCAGACGCCAAGGTCATCTGCACCACACGAGATCCTGTATCATGGGAGAAGAGCATGCTCCACGTGCAGAGTTTGACGGGCGTCTGGTTTGCGCGTGCTGTTCTGCTCCCGCTGGACGGGATGAGACATTTTATCCCATATGGGTACCTGCTGGCGGCGCTTTGGGAGAGGCTCTATGGTGGGGTTGCAGGTCAGCATGGGAGGGAGACGTATGCGAGGCATGTTGCTTGGTTAAAGGAGTTTGTGCCCGAGGATAGGTTGGTTTTCTTCGATGTCAAGGATGGGTGGGGTCCGCTGTGTGAGGCTCTGGGTGTCGAGGCTCCGGTCGATGTGCCGTTTCCTCGTATCAATGACTCTGAGGCCATTGAGAGGTCTGTAAATTATCATTTACGTAGGGGCCTTATGCGCTGGGCTTACATTGTCGGCGTCATTGGTGTTGGGGTGGCGGCTTTTCGCATGTGGAGGTGAGACGGGGTAGGTTGATTGCAGAGTGTGAGAAGTGACCATGTGGCTTCTTTTTGTTGCGGGGATTCGTATAGTATAACTTTAGGGGCTTTGGATTTTTTTTTGGTTTCGCAAACTTCAACACCTCAGCGACTTGCATGCCTTGGATGACGTCCGTTTATTGCAGGGCCAGGGGGAGCATCAGTCAAAGACTCATCACGAACAAATCAGATAGATCGATCTTTACAGTTTCTTACATAGCCATGTACACACTAGATTAATGACGTTGACATCCTTTGGAATATGTGATGGATAATATGAAACCGAAATACATCGCCCTACTGGTTATACATACATGTAAGACTCTATACACAATCGCCAACCTTGGAACTCATAAGCGTAAATCAGATATCATAGTCGATCCTGTTCGAGCGATGGCGAACCCTCACTTCCATACTCATTTCTTTCGAAGGTAGTTTCGATCTGTGTGTGAGCAAAGATCTTACCATGGGGGATAATGCGCTCCTCGCTAGAGTTGCTAGCCGGGCCAATGTTGGTACCCATGGGAATATCCTCCTTGCCATTGACTGTGATCATAGTGAGGCTGTTAGGATCCTTGACCTTTCCGAATCCAGATGGATACCGCGGGGAAGTATTGTCACTTGACCAGGGACCATATTTCTTCCCACTGTTATATTCGCCGATGAAGCGGGGCAGGAATCGGGAGGCAATCGCCTTGAAGGACGGGATAGAGGCAGCAAGGATGCCGATGTTAGTTTCGATGACTGACCAGTACATGGCACCGCTGATGGCGTACGTGGAGTCCTTTGAGCTAAGCATGGTAGGAATGAACGTGATTCGGATGATAGAGGAAACACAAGTGCTGTAGGGCGTAATCCGTTAAAAAGCGGTCAGGAGGAAGTATTAGGGTACACTTACAAAAGACCAAGACAGAGAATTAAGGCCAGAATAAGCTTCTGCTTCCGAGGCATCTGGAGACGGAAGACGACATTAATCGGTAGGGTATAAGTCAAGAGATCGGTGAAAATGTTCAGGGCGGCGTTGCACAGGTAGAAAAGGTTGATCTGGACGCATTTTCCGGGTTTAGTGGTATTCCAGGCTTTGCTAATGGGCTGACATTGGAATGCAGCTACAAGAACGAATGAGCCGGCTTGTGCCATAATAACTCCCATCATAAGATAGGAGAGGCGAGTGAGATGGCGATCTCCGAGGCGAGTATAGAACCACAGGACGGAGGTTTTGATGAATCCAAGTGTTGCGAGATAGAACATCGAGCTCAGCCAGACGGTCTGGGGATAGGTTAAAAATGCAATACTGAACAAGGTCGGGTCCATCTCCTTACCAAAGCATAATCGACCATTCTGGTCTGATCAACATCCTGAATGTGTTCTCCAAGTCCATCTTTGACCGCTACATGACATTGGCTTTTGCAAACAGTTGTAGGAAGCGAAGCTGGAACATACCGACAATTGTGACAGCAATAAATGACCATGAAAACACCTATTCACATTAGTTCCGAGGGTCATTAATGATCGAGTTGATTCTTTCCGTACACAAGCGCCAATAATGAGGTCTGGGGGGAAGTCAGTATAGCGTTGGTAAAACCGGTCAAGAATAACTGCTTACAGTCGTCAATGCCCATTTGACGCAAGACAAAAATGCGTGCAAAGAGCCGGAGAGCCAAAACAATGAAGGTCAAGGCAGCAAATGCTACACAGATACCCACGACCACAGGGCCTTGAGAACCATTAGTACCAGCCATGACGAGCAATGTGGAGGGATCAAATTGAAACGAATAGAATGGAGAGAAAAGACAGGAATTTGATGTCAAGAAAGAATTAGGTCAATTGAATAACATAGATTAGTCGCTTCACTTGTCCATCCCACGGAGAACGGACGATAAAAGGATCACTTTAAGAATGATCAAAATGTATCAAGAAGATCTGGTGCCTCGGTCTACAATTTATAAGGATATTCATCTCTAATGCCCCTTGAATTCGTTCAAGTAAAGTGACTGCGCACACCAAATATGCGCATCGTGCATGGATCTAGTAGTCCTCGAGGTCCACTGTATTCCATCAAAAAGGCCGTTGGCAAAAAAAAAGAAAAAAAGAAAATCTAGCACGGATTGCCATGGCCTTCTCTTCCTAGAGCAACGCGAGACAGATAAGATGGTCTTAACCAAGCATCTTCACTACTCGGGATCTTTGGGGATCTATGCGTGATACGCCTGTCGATTATGTGGAGAGCGTTAGTTTCACCTTATTTTAGAGAAACATAGAAAAAGCCCTACGACGGGCTTTCCAGAGCAATGGGTTGCCACTCAAGTGCAACCGTTGGATTTATAATTCATTGTAAAAACGAAGTCCTAATCCCTGTCCATAGGGATCCCTGTTCCGGGGACAAGAATGCATTATGATTTAGCACCCAAGATACCCACCTGAAGGCCCCAATAGGGGGTCAGTCGTCAACACATCCGACACCTCGAAGACGATCCTGAATTCCCGACCATTGGGAAGTGCATATAATCGATACATTACTCATCCCTCAAAAGAAACTAGGAAAAACAAGAAAGATGATTTGAAAGAACGAAAGCGAAAAAAAAAGTCCGTGCCCGGAGGATGTCCGGGGAGGCAGAGAGATTTGATTCAGTTTTGCTTACATGCTCGTCGAGATGCCCAATGGTGATCCTTATGTGTAAGTATGATCTAACATAGATACCTTACATGCTGTCCTGAATTGAATCAACAAGCCAAAATGCCACGGACAAAAAAGGGGTAATCGGAGCGCATAGAGAACACAACGGAAGATTTCCAATCATTTTATGGCGAATCCTGATTACTAGGTCGTAACCTCGAAGGAGCTGAACGGTTTGTACGTTGCAAAACACGAGAGCTTTTGTCAATGCGCTCACCTACGGAGCACGGAGCATATTTGGAGTTATGGACAGTGCCTTGTCCGTGATGCAATGATGCACAGACTTGAAGCCAATCCGCTATGCAGCTCAACTCCGATCAGCACGACGACTCCATTTGCCTTCCGAGCCATCCTGGAGAGTGGATCGCCGATTGTGGCGCCTTATAAGAAGTAGGCGAAAATTAATAGACTGCAGATGATTTGGAAGTCTGTGTGCATTTCATATGTGATATGAGTGGGAGTAAAAAATCTGCACTGCATATTCTCAAGAATTCACAAAAGTACGAAGACATGGAACTTTTATACTCCGTACTCCGTCCGAATAACAAATATTGCACATCAAGCCCCTTTCCCAAGATTCTCAGTGGTCAGCGTTCCTCAATTTGCATTGAACATTCTCCGGACTACGAAGTAGAAGTATCATGCTCCGTTAGTTTTTGCTTCCAAACTGCTCCGTTATGGGGATTGAAAAGTACAAGAATCGTGCCAAGCACACCAACTCCCGGTGTTGGCTTCACTGGATGACAAATTTCAAGAATCAAGTATCTTTTGTATGACAGCCCATCTGAAAGGTACCTAAGCACAGCATAAGGACAACATCAATTCTCTCAGCCCTTAAAATGGGCTTGGGATATAAAATGGTGCGTGTTTGTTATGAATGAAATTCTTATTTGGTACTATCAACTTCAGTAGGAAATCGGAAGTGCGTAAAGCAAGAGAACAGCGAAACGGTGTCATCCGACATTTCAACATTGCTTTTTTGCCCTTTAGCTGGTTGGAAAGTTAAATCGTGCTGATATTGTAGATATATACCTTTCATGTGAAGCTATAGTAAATCCTCGTTATGGTGACCATATTTTACGAGTGCCTTGGGTTAACGAGTAATCACCAGTGCTTCCGTAGATCCGCCATGGCAATTATGAAATTCCCTTGTTAACCCCTTCTTCCTTAAATTGTCTTGCCACACTCACCTGCCTTCGCAGGATTGGGTCTGTTGTACCGTACGAGATCTTTCATAGTCCGTAATTTCTAGAATTTAGGTACCTCCATAGGCGCGTGCCATAAGAATGGTACAGACAAAGAAGCGTTGACGATGTTGCATTAAATTGGATTCTCTTTACCCTCGAAATAGCTAAAGGGAAGATAAGAGCTCTAATATCTGATGTGAGTTTAGCGTGATTGATTTAGTAATAAAGTAAGCTAACTAGTTATCGTATGTGTTCAAGAGAATCGAGGACCAATTACAGAGAGTGTAGTTTAAATGTACTGCGACACCCCAAATTATTAGCACCTTTTTAAACACTTGAAACATTTCTCCAGGTTTAGTAACGCGAAATGGCCTTCTTTGATTTAAGACATTAATAAGCTCACATCTCCCTTGATCGTGCCAAGCGCCCACTGCACCTATCGAGTTTTGGGCCCTAGAAAATCCTCAATATTTTACCATGTACCCAATCCATCGGTTAAGTATCCGTTATCTGACTTACCCGTCTAAAAGATACCCAGGCACTATGTGAATCCTCTCAATCTTCGAACTAGCTAAAAGTAAGAGAGACAGCTGGGATCAATCTTTGATACCTGATGTGGACGAAGCACAATTGTTCAAAAAAAAGCCCTGTGTATGAAGTTAGATGTGGAAATAGACTAGGGTGCTTTCTTTCCTTCAGTTCACTTGATACTCTTTACCAAGCTTTTATTTAACTTTATAAAATTCTCCTCTGACTTCCCCAACTGGTCCGAAGGTTACGAAATTTGGCATGTATCTGCGAGGCGCTAAAGTATCTTTCATATGGGCAAGTCCTATCAAAGATACCGAATTTGCAGATCGGGTATCAGGTGAAAATTGGGGATCTACCGGGGCCCAACACCCGGTAGGTGCATTGGGGGCGCTGGGCACGGTTATGTCGAGGGTGAGGGAAACACAGATTGTTGAAATCTTGTGCTAGTGTGCCTTTTACGCGCACTACCTAGAAGAAAACTAAATTTGAGCAGTTGCGTATTATGAAAAAGATGGTGTGGTGCTACCGATCCCCAATCCCACGAGGGCTTGGAAGACTACAACATTCTTAACGAAATACGTTGAGGTTTTGTTTTTCTCGACTGCTTTCAATCAATTAAAATGCCTCACCGATCGATCCCCACTTGTTAAAAAAACGCTCGGTCCATCTCTTAGAAGGTCCCCGAGGCCGAGAGGAGGCCTTTTTCGGGCAAATATGAGTTAATTATAACGCAGGTATAGGAATACAAGGGTTTGCTCTCAGGGAGGAGATGATTTTTTAAAGCAACTGTGTTTCTTTGACCCCTCCAGAGTTAAAAGGAGCATGTAAGCCTAAGATAAATGCATAATATCTGAGTATCTCGATGTTGTGAAGACCTTGATTTAACGAATTTTCTGACGGTTTACTATACCAAATAAAGGAGACCTGATCCTACTGGTGTGTTGTCTGGTGCAGCCCCCACCAACAGGGAATTATAGATCCGGTCGATGTTGTATGCACTGCTCACGTGATGGCACATTGAAGTTCTACAAAAGATCTCCAAGTACGGGAGTAAGGTGCTATATTAACATGTCACCCTTCTAGATTATATTGACAGTCTCCTTGGCGTTGTAGTTACAGTATACGCGGTAAACTAAAAAGGCCTAACGCAGTTTCCCCCTTTTGACTCCTGTATCAAACCTCAAATATGGCCCCCCTAGGCCATAAACAGGAACCTTGGTTTTTGTTATGGTCTAGTGGAAAAGTACGCTGTGTTTCGTTCAACGTCCTGTATATCTTTAGCTAGTTCGAAAGTTGAGGAAAAAGCAAGTTATGGCGTTCGTGTAATTGGTATATTTTGTATGAAATGACCATATTAAGGTACCCAATTTCCAAAACTATTGACAAGGGGAGTTGTGACTGGAGCGCATCAACGCAGATGTGTTGGGCACTTGGCATAAGCCGCTCAGGCATTGTGACGCTGATGGGGATTGAAAACAGTTTACCCCCAATTCCCCTGTCACATTCGTTTCAAGAACACGCCCGGCATATGCATGCGGGTCACACCTCGCACGAGGGCTGGGCCGCCATCACCTGCAGCTTCATGAAGTCGACTCCAAACGATGTACAGCGACAGTGAGAAACACTGGCTATTCCATAGTGGAGGACGCCAGCCTCCCGCTCCTAGTGCGAGGTATGCACTTTGTTATTTGCGTCTGGCCCTGTGCAAAGGACGCTCGAGATTCCCCGGGAAAGAAACTCCCCAAGCATCTCAAAACCGGTGCTGGTCATTGGCCCAAATTTGGATGGGCAACGGCGCCCCTCTTGGAGTGCCGAACCCGCACGGCCCCCTTGGACACCTGGGAACGTCTTTCTCCCTTTCCAGAACATCACTACCCCTTTGGGAAACAATGCTCTGGGATCAGACGTTGCTAGGGATGTGTGCGACGATAGACCAGCCACAAGGCTGCAATGCCGAACGAGCAAGCGGGGTCGCAATTCCTCTGCGATTCACCAATGCCCCTAGCGCGTGGACTAGCGCAAAGGGGGGAGGTGTAGATGCAATGAGATGCCATATGCCGAGCATATCTTCAACGGTTTAGACCTAGCTTGGTCTAAACTTGCACAATCATCAGAGAAACGCTGCGTCCTCGTGGGGTCTTGTTAGCTCGACATTGGCCCCCCTGACCAATGCCATTTGGTCGATGCACTGTGACCAATGACCTTTTGGCCTAAACGTTTACTCCGATAGATTTGCTGTTTAATGCCAGTGGTATTTCGTAGTACTTAATGCCCGGAGGGGCTATGTCCCCTCGGTCACAAAGACACGTTTTTTTCTTCGCATCAGCATCTCCAAATCAACCATGGGCCTTGCAGAAAATGTCCTGCCACTGGTGACAGTGACCAATGTCATATTAGGTTTTGTGGCCTATGTTTTTTTCAAGTTCAGCTGGCAAATCATTTACAATCGCTTCTTCAGTCCGCTCGCCAAGTTCCCCGGTCCTTTCTGGGGTTCTGTAACTCGTCTCTGGATCGCATGGCAGAATCTGCAGGAAACCGAGGTTCCAACTGTCTATGCGCTTGCTAAAAAACATGGTTGGTCTTGATTCGATCTGAAAAAGGAATGTGATTTCTAAAAAAGTGAATTATCTCAGGCCCTGTTGTTCGCATTACCCCGACATTGTTGCTGGTCAACGATCACAAAAAGCTTCCGGAACTCTACCACCGCAATGCAGACAAGACCGGGCACTATATTACGGGAAGCTTCGGTGAGACCGAGTCTCTGTTCAATATGAGGTCTCACAAGACCCATGCCGGGTTCAGAAAGCACATTGCCGGACCGGTATGACGAGACAGGAGCTCAGATGTAGTGATCAAACACTGACCCTCAACATAGTACAGCTTCAGCAACATCAAAAAAATGGAGCCATTGGTTGATGAGCGCATTACCCAATGGATCGGCAAGCTCAATGAAAAGTTCGCGAAGAGCGGCGAAGCCTTCGACTTCGCCTGGTGGGCAGTGTAAGCAACACATAAGCTAAATGAAAAAAAACCCCCCTCCGACTAACGACGCAATCAGCTACATGGCCTACGACATAATCAGCGAAATCGGCTTCGGCGAGCCTTTCGGCTTCATCGAAAAGGGCGAAGACATCGGGGGCCTAATCCAAGGCTTCCACGACGGTCTCCCAGCCTTCGGCCTCCTAGCCCGCTTGCACCCCTTCACCTCATGGGTAAAGACCACCTTCTTAAAAAAATACCTTGTCGCCAAGCCAGCCGACAACTCCGGCATTGGTGTTCTAATGCGCTTCCGTGACCGACTCATCGACAAGCGCATCAAGGACATCAAATACGGCAGGAAGCCCAACCGCACAGACCTGCTCCAGACTTTCCTTGAGGCTCTCACGGAAGACGGAAAGCCCCTTGATCTGGAGTACATCCGCGCAGAGGTTCTGCTCGTCCTCCTTGCTGGTGCAGACACAACAGGCACCGCCTTCCAGGCCATGGTGCAGTTCCTCTTGACCCACCCGGAGGCGTATAAGCGTATGATGGAGGAAATCGACAACGCCGCTCGTAAGGGCCTTATCTCAGATATGCCACAGTACGATGAGGTCCTAGAGCACCTGCCTTTCTATGTCGGCTGTGTGAAGGAGACCATGCGTCTATGTCCGTCTGCGCCGAATATCTTCCCCCGTTATGTCCCTGAGCCGGGGATCGATCTTTATGGTTGCTTTGCGCCGGCGGGTACGGAGATTACCTGTAATCCGTACCTTGTGCATCGGGATCCGAACCTTTATGGGTATGATGCCGAAGAGTTTAAGCCAGAGAGATGGTTAGATGTTGAGAGGGCGAAATTATATAATAAGTATAACTTTTCGTTTGGGTATGGATCGCGTGTTTGTTTGGGGAGGGATATTGCTATGATGGAATTGTTTAAGGGTCCTTTGCAGGCAAGTTCCTTTCCGGTTGTCCTATAAGACTGCCATTTTGGAGTGACTGCTAATTTGTCGTTTAGTTCTTCCGCCAATACAAGCCGCAGACTGCACAGGGTAAGCCTGATGCTCAGTTCATGATCAAAGGTGGTGTTGGCTACTGGAGAGATGTGTGGTTGAACATCTCTCCCCGGGCAGAGGTGAAGGCTGAGTGAAAGCTTGATGAGCTTTGGAGGAAATTAGTATTGTTGAAGCTGAGAGCCTTGGTGGGATTTACACCAAAACCATCACGACTATAGATTTCAAAAAAAAAGCCACTCAGAAGGCCTTTTACGAAAACAACGTTCGAAATTTATAGTTGGATACCTATTTTTTGTTTTCTCCATTCCTCGCTGTGATTTCTGTGCATCATGTACAAGCCATTTGCATTTTCATTGTTCATATGATATTCCTGATCTCCATATCTCAATCGAACTTGATTTAGCTCAAGGGTAGCTGGGTCCTTTGCTAGAAATAGCTCACCGTTCCAAAAATTGATCACTGAATCGAATCCAGGCAAATATTGCGGTTCCTGGAACATGATGATAAGCACGGTGTACGGTGAAAATCTACCCCTGAGGTCGATGGTCACTGCGTAGCGATCTCGCAGAGTGTTGATGCATTCCTCTGTGCTGTCGAACCCAGAGCACGTTGTTCTGATGAGTTTCAAGATCGCAGCGGACAGCACAGCGTGTCCTTCATCTCGTATAACCTTTTGTGTTTCGGTTATGAATTCATCAGCAAAGGTCCCTCAGTCGCCCCGTGCCATGATATCTTGAACTACCTTTGCATCCACTTTGCTGGCCAGCTATGCCCGGACTTGCTGCGATAGCTGCATCTATTTCTCTATATTTGGGGCATTTTGGATGAATCGTGCGATGGTTGCATCGATGAGAGGGCGGATATTTTTGAGGCGGAGAAACTTGTCGATGGTATCAAGCCATGCGTCAAAATCCCCCCCTCTTTTAAAAGGCGCGACGGGACAGGCTATGCTAAAATTGCCTGGCTCAGGTGGATCAGTTGGTTGATCCCTTTCGGCGGGGGTTTCGAAACCAAGTTCACCCCGGTCGCGGTTGTTTGGTGCGCCTGGTTGAGTCTGTGTGCGGGCTACACCGGGGGCCTGGGCTGTGCTGTCACTCGTTGTCCTATTTTCAGAAAGGTTACGTCAGAGAAATCCTTTGAAAGATGGATGAGCAAGTGAGAGTCTTACAGATTGGTAAGACGGATGGTGAAGTTGGAGATCCGAGAAGAGAGATGGTGAGTGATGAAGTGATCTATGGAAGTCTCCAGGGCTGGATGTAGGAGGGAGGTATGGAAGAGGATATCGAGACAGAAAGCAACAAAAAGAGCCATTTGATCTGGTCTGATCTGGGTATCCAGATCTAGAAAATGACCTAGATGGAACGGCATTTATGATGAATGGTAAAACTAGTGCCCATTTTAAGCCAAAGTGAACATGATGCTATTCCTGTTATTCCTATGCCATGAATGGTAAAATGTCTCCGTAAGACACCCTGATCCAGCCGACATAAGACAAGGACAAGAATGAACGTGGAAGATAATTCGGAGTAGAAATCACCTAAATGGATGTATGAATAGATAGGAACTAGATGGAAATTATCGTATGGACACGACAAACAAGATACAAGTCAGGATAAGTTTCGTTGAATGCTTTTAATAACCCGCTCACCCGCCAGTAGAACATGGAACAGGGCACACTGTGAAATATGGAAAATGGAGAAAAACGCCCGACACATTTGTAAGGCATTCATGATCATTCAGCAGAACCCATGACAGCTTCCTAAACACAAAGACAATAGATGTTAGCAATGGAGCTAGAAGGGGAGTCTGAAACCAAGGTTTCTGCTTACTCTTGCTTCATGGTACAAAGGAGTAATACCAGTCCAGTGAACGAACTGGTACACACCCTGTCCAACAAGGACCTCCAGTCCAGGAATGGTGGTCCAACCCGCATCAGATGCAAGCTGCATCAAGGCAGTGACGGTAGGCTTGTAGGCCATCTCAAGAAGAACGCGGTGCTTGCTAGCGTCAGAAGACTTGCCGATGAGAGTGCCGTCAATCTCCTGAGCACGCTCGAACATGTGGCAGAGCGTCTCGCGCATAACAGGGTCGATGGAACGGTCGGCGGGAATCGTGCCGATAGCGACCTGAGGAACGGTGTCAAGCTGCGCTCGGTTGTCTACCACGCGGATGTTGTAGTTAATCGGGAAGGTTGAGACCATGTCCTCGAGCTTGCTGGCGCTACGGCCCACCACGTAGATTGGGGAGAAGCCCATGTCGTGGAGGGCAAAGATGGCAGCACGGGCAGTACCGCCGCCGCCGATGACCACGGCACTCTCGTTGCCGGTAGAACCGTAAACGCCTGCATTGCGCATGCATCGAACCATACCTTGCCAATCGGTGTTGTAGCCAATTAGACGAGGGGGCTTGTCACCGTTGGGGACGGGAACGATGGTGTTGACGGCGCCGATGATTTCAGCTTCCTGGGCAACTTCGTCGAGCAGGGGCATGATATCCAGCTTGAGAGGGATCGTCACCGAGGCGCCACCGAAGTCCGATGCGCGGATGAAGTCTTTGACGTCTTCGATGTTGGTGGTCTCCAGGCGGGAGTATTCGTGGGGTAGACCCATTTTGCCGAAAAGGGTGTTGTGAAGAGCGGGAGACCGCGAGCCAGAGACAGGGGAACCGAAGACAGCGAACTTCTTGGCCTTAATTTCACCCATCAGGGAGAGACCACGGCGAATCTCTGCAGCTGACAGTTGACCAGGTGCCGCCTTGAAAGGAAGGCTGGGGTGAGACACCGGGGTCATGAAGCCATTCAGGATGCGGCTGAGCTGACCACTATCGCCCATGTTGATCGCAATGAGCGGCACATCGTGAGCTTCTTCAGCCCATGTCTTGAACTTCCGAAGGGCATTGTTATCATCAAGGCTATTGGCAACACCGACGAGCTTGATCACATCGCCGTACTCCAGAGCACGGTTGTAGGATTGCATCCAGGACACGTTGGCCCATGACAGAGTGCCCATCGGATCATGGTGCGAGGCGATGATCCTAGAGTAACCCTTCATTTCAGTAACGGCGCGGAGCATTGCATCGGGGAACGCGATCTCAAGATCCACGAATTCGCACCCAGAACGGAACGCTAGTCGGTACAGCTGTATTGCCGCATCATGAGCATCATCGGGAAAGCGGCCACCTTGGCTCTTGGTACGGATGGTGAAGATGAGCGGTAGGGTGGTACTACGGCGAAGGATAGACAATTGTTCGTTGACGTAATCAACCGAGGGAATATCGCCGTCAACTGTAGGGTCCCTCAATAAATCCACCCGCAGTTCCACAGCATCAGACCCGACACATGCCTCGGTGATAGTATCGCCCGAATTTTGGACATCAGGCAGAGTCAGTGAGACAAAGAAGCTGTGCTTCTTTTTCTTAATGAGATCAAGGCTGTCTGATTGGCCGGTGACTACCCGCATGAAGCGGGTAAAGTCCTCTGAGGCAAGGGCCAGCTCCGTTGAGGTGGAGTGTTGGCTATAGTACTGAATATTACTGCAATCTTGGAACCAAGGCTTGCGTCGTAGCCACACGCCCATCATGTCCTCCACATAGGCAGGGCGGGTCTTATCACTCTGGAGGAAGTCCATCACCAGCTTGACGTCGCGCATGATGAGGAGCACATTGCCCTTGCTCTTGTGGTAGTCGGTAAGCAGCTTTCGCGCCTCCGGCATTTCGACTACACCTCCGCCGCAGGCGAAGACATATCCAGTAGGATGATCTTTAAGGACGCGCTTAAGGACAGCAAGTTCTGCGTCCCTGAAACCCTCCCAGCCGCGTGTCTTGATTATATCGGGGATAGTGATGCCCTCGGAGGTCTCAAGCTCTATGTCAAGATCGATGAACTGGCGACCAAGGGCCTTAGCAACCCAGTTGCCAGCAGTGGTCTTGCCGGCACCACGCATGCCGATTATGAAGATAGAGGCACTGCTCCGCTCCACATCGCTTGAGGAAGCATGCTCGTCTTCCTTCAATTCTTTGCCATCGAGATTCACGCTGAACATTTGCTTCAAAGCGTCCCACCAGCCAGGCCAGGTCTTGCCAACACATTCTTTCTCCAGAATTAGTGTAGACTGGGGAGCGATAAGAGACAGCACACTGAAACTGAAAGCGACTCGATGGTCATCGTAACAGAAAACACCACCGGAGGGCTGTCGAAGGGTAGAACGCTCAATGCCGTCGATTTCAAGCCCGTCGTCATGCTCACGGCACACTACACCGAATTTAGCCAATTCGTCTTTCATAGCCTTGATACGGTTGCATTCCTTGACACGCTGGTTTGCGATACCGTAGATACGAGTTGTGTGGTTTGAGCCCTTGCCCCGGGCAACGGCTGCGAGAACGGAGGCAGTAAGGAAGGCATCTGTCATGGGCTCCATATCCACATTAGGCAGCGGCTGCAAGATGCCATCAGCAGGTCCGGTAACAGTGGTTGAAGTATCGGTCTGTACAACAGAGCAGCCCATAGGCCGTAGAATGTCTACGGCGAAACGGGCATCGCCCTGAAGGGACTTGGAACCAATGTTAGGGACAGTGCAGGTGGTGCCAGTGACGGCAGCAATGGCCAAAGGATAGGTTGCAGAGCTTGCGTCGCTCTCCACAACATATTCGGCGGGGTTCACGTAGTGAGCCTGAGGAATGTGGTAGGTGTGCTCCTCGGTGGTGGATTTCTTCACGTCGATGCCGAAAGATCTCATCATCGCAGTGGTCATATCGATATAAGGCTGTGAAATGGGCTTACCACCGACAAGCTTCAAAGTGACCGGCTCCTTGGCGTACGGAGCGCACATGAGCAGTGAGGAGACGTACTGAGAAGAAACTTTAGCGGCCAAGTTGATCTTCCCTCCTGCGAAGCCTCCAGAAGCGGCAATCTTGAGAGGAAGGCATCCCTTGCTTTCCATGTACTCGACACCGGCACCATTAACGGTAAGAGCATCAACAAGATCACCAATGGGCCTTTGCTTCATGCGATTGTTGCCGGTCAAGACACTCGAGTCGACACTGCTGGGAGTTGCGAGTGTAGCCACAGTGGTGAGGAAACGCGAGGCAGTACCGGCGTTACCCAAGTACAAAGACGAAGGACTTGCGATGATCTTCC